CTAAGCCTCTACATGTTTTAACGGCTAAAGGCCAGAAGTTTAGATGGGGAGAGGAGGAGGCCGCTTTTGTTACACTGCGCAAAAGCCATGCCGACGCGCCTCCCCTGGAGTAGCCAAATTTTTCCCTATCGTTTACCTTAGATACAGATGCCAGTGACACGGGTCTTGGGGCTGTCCTGTCCCAAGTTAAGAACAGCGTTGAAAGGGTGGTAGTGTACAGGAGTTGTGTCCTGTCATCCGCGGAACGACGTTACTGCGTGACCAGGAGGGAACTCTTGGCCATGGTGCACTTTGTGCAACAGTACAGGCCTAACCTGTACGGTAGGGAATTCGTGGTCCACACGGACCACGCGGCCCTTCAATACTCCTTGCGTGTGGATCAACCTTCGGGCCAACTGTCACGTTGGTTGGAGATATTTCAGGAATTTTCATTTCAGGTGATTTAATGAAAAGGGTTGCGGCATAGTAATGCGGACGCATAATCCCGAATGCCGACGGGGGAGGGCTGTGCTTGTTCAACGGGCGCAGGACAATGTAAGCCACGGGGCGCGAAGCCATCCGGGGTAGTGGCGTCGGTGGAGAGCGCAGCACCCATTGGTAACGTTGCGCCTATAGATGGAACGCTGGGCCTCACGCTTGCCGAATGTGGTTGGTTGCAAATGGATGACGCGTCCTTGTTGCGACTCCGGGGGCGTGCGGAGCGGCAAAGAACGAACCCTTGCTCGGCGAAGTCCTCAAAGATTGTGCTGAGGGACGGGTTTCTTATGAGATGGGATGAGGGGTTTCAACGCTACGGCCTGGTGGTTCTTACGGTTTTACGGGGTACGTTGACTCGAGAGGTACACGAAACCAAATTATTACATCTCGGCGTTCGAAAAACGTTACTGACGGGAGCCAATGGTAGGGAAGGACGAGTTAATAAGCATTCCTTAGATGGGAACCAATTGGATTAAGGCATAGGGTGTGGTCGGGCCCGGCGAGGATAAATAGCAGTGTGAGTGAAGGTTCAGGGCACTGCTTGGTGTGGGGGAACTGCGTCGTCGTGATCTGGGTCCGGGCCGTCTTCATCGTCCGCGAGTTGTCTTACAAGAAGAAGTTATACTGGTAGGAACGAAGTGAACCAGCCTACAATAGATTATATCGTCCGTCTGTCCATGTAGCAACATCGCCCCCTACTGCAAACACTTGGCATGACCCTACAAAAACTTTTAGGCTCAGTGATGCTTTCCTGGCTAAACAAGTGTAACATTCCCTTGTAATTCCCTCAGATAGCTTTTAATTAAAACATTTAAATTAATGAGGCTTTCCTGGCTAAACAAGTGTAACATTCCTTTATAATTCCCTGAGATAGCTTTTAATTAAAACTTTTAAATAAAAATTTAACTCAGCGGCCTAAAGCCTACAGCGAGGCCTAAAGCCTCGAACAATGCCTCAAACTCTCCCTTCGTATCGTACCCCCGCGTGTGTGCAAGGGAGTTAATGTTTAACAATGTTACATTCCCTGATGCTTTTAAATAGAAACATTTAAATTTAAAGCTTTTACATAAATAATAAAAAACATTTAAATTTAAAATTAACTCACGGCGGCCTAAAGCCTACAGCTAGGCCTAAAGCCTAGAACTAGGCCTCAAACTCTCCCTTCGTATCGTACCCCCGCGTGTGTGAAAGGGAGTTAATGTTTAACAATGTTACATTCCCTGATGTTTTTAAATAGAAACATTTACATTTAAAGCTTTTACGTAAATAATTAAAACATTCAAATTAAAAATTAACTCACAGCGGCCTAAAGCCTACAGCTAGGCCTAAAGCCTAGAACTAGGCCTCAAACTCTCCTTTCGTATCGTCCGATTAGGTGTAGCAACATCGCCCCCTACTGCAAACACTTGGCAGGACTCTAGAAAAACCTTTATACTCATTGGGGCTTTCCTGGCTAAACAAGTGTAATAATACATTACGTTTATATTCTTTGGTTATTTGTTGCTACCAGCCCACCCCGCAGGGTCCTGTTGTTATCCCAGAATCGTGTCGTGTGAAACACCCGTGTGTATATAGTCACTCGTAGTTGCACATTGAGTTATTGGTGGATATTTATTTGATAATAAACAAACAGAAGAGACGACGCCGTCTCTGTGAGCTATATTACATATGTCAGTCGATGTGTGTACGTCGATGTATATGTGTGTGTGTGTGTGAGTCGATGAGTCCATATGTGTGTGAGTCGATGTGTGTGTGTGTGTACGTCTCCGTGTGTGTGTACGACTATGTGTGTGTGAGTGTGTATGTGGGGAGCGGTAGTGTAGCAGTTAGCGCGCTGCGCTATGAACCTGACGACCCGGGTTCGATTCCCGCTCACGGCCAACACCAGTGACGATTATCTGAACCAGTCCTGGGCCTACCCTAGGTCGACTCAGCCTCAAATGAGTACCTGGTGCGGTGCATAAACATCGCCACTGGGGAGACAAAGGCGGTCGGGCTTGGTGCTGGTCACCCACCCCCTCGTGTGCCGTTCCGGCCTTTATAAGTGCTTGCTAACAGCACTTGCCCCTCCAGTCTGTTCAGGCTATACGGGGATCTTTGTGTGTAACTCCATGTGTGTATCTGAAGTCGATGTCTGTGTGTGTGAGTCCATATGTGTATGTGTGTGTAGGGCAGTGTGTGCGTGGGTCCATGTGTGTGTGTAAGTCCACGTGTGTGTGTCTTAGTCGATATGTGTGTATAAATTTCGATTTAAAGCTTTCGTGACTGCAGGGATCCATCTTCTTGGTTCTTTCGGTAAAGTCACGTAGAAGGGAAGTAATAAAATAATAAAAATAAAACAATAAAATAAAATAATTCTCACGACGTTTCGGCTACAACGCAAGCAGCCGTCTTCAGGTGAAGAATGAGACACTACCAAGCTAGGAGCTTATATATACGCTGCGTTGGAGGTGCAAGAGCGCCTTAACAAAAAGAATGTGCATATGAAGAGGAATTTAGCATATTCATGGGAAATGCGTAGGAGGTGGGTGGGGGGGGGGGTTCATAGTCATATTATGCCCATGCATTATGCAGGATCAACAGCACCAAGGGGGGGTGCAGTAGCATTAACAAAGGAAAAGAATGTTAATAGTATGTAGCTGCAGTTACTAAACAACAACGTAGAAAACTAAAGTATAAACTACATAAAAAACTAAAGTATAAACTGCATAGCACCATCAGTATACTTACTATACTCTACAATAAGCTGAGTTACTAACAGCAAGTAATACATTACAATTCTACGTCGTAAAAAATATATAATATGCTTCCATCTAAACTTTATTCTCTTACATCACACGAGCATACACCGTACTATATACTGCCATAGATAAACCCAACATTAAATTATATACTGTATTGCTATAAACCACATTTTAATATAACACTATGTATTATTCTACTCACCCTAATGTGTATCACACTGCTATATGTTTACTATACAATTACGATACTATATATTACTTTGTACATTGTATTAAGCATATAAATGTTATAGTATTTGTTATTATACGCTGTACCATTGACCGTCGTGTCAATGGGTGAGTCGTGGGGGGGAAACTTGCAGCAGAGCAAAGAATCCATTCCCTGCGGAGAATACAATGCCAGTGAGTGGAACGCGGTCTGAAAGTCACCGTAAACGTGAACACAATCAGTTAAGATCCGAAATGGTTTATTACGTCCTTCCAATGATTGCTAAGCCAGAATCCATCTTCTCGGTTAAAATTGTCTCTGTGTTTGTATATGTGGATCGCCTCATGAACGAATCTCTCATGATAGCCAGATGGCTTGCAGAGAACCTCTGTCTTGGAGAAGTCAATGTCATGTGAGCCCACTGAGTTGTAACAGTGATCTGCCACGGCTGAGGTGTTTGTCCTACCGTGTTTCAAGTCTGCTTTATGTTCACGGATGCGGTCCGAGACATGTCGTTTGGTTTCCCCAATGTAACTGCTACCACAGAGGCAACTTAGTTTGTAGACGCCAGGGTACTGTATGTCTGCAACCACATCTTTTACAGACGGGACCAGATCACGGATTTTATGTACTGTGTTGAATCGGACCTGGATCTTGTGTTTAATCAGGATTTTGGAGATCTTTTTTGTGACCCCAGCAATGTAGGGTAAGGTGATGGTCTTGAAAGGCTCCTCAACAGGATCCTTCTTGATGGTTGGAGTGATGGCTTTGCGGATTGTGTAGTCGGAGTAACCATTAGCCTTAAGAGCTTGGCGTACGTGTTTGAGTTCACTGGCAATGTGTTCCTGGTCGGAGATGCATTGGGCTCTATGATATAGAGTCTTGATGAGGGAATTCTTCTGGGATGGATGGTGGTGGGAATCCGGTTTTAAGTAAGCATCCGTATGGGTGGCTTTCCTGTAGACAGAGTGGCTCATTGAACCATCAGGTCTCCTTTTGATTAGGACATCCAAAAAGGGTAGCTTGCCATCTTTTTCGACTTCCATGGTGAATCTGATGGCTGGGTGTATGGAATTGATGTGGTCGAGAAATTGGTCGAGAGTAGGCCTGCCATGTGGCCAGATGACAAAAGTGTCGTCTACGTACCTCTTCCATAAGGTCGGGCGTAGAGTGGCAGTCTGGATGGCGTCAGTCTCAAATTTCTCCATGAAGATGTTGGCTACAACCGGAGATAGGGGGGAGCCCATTGGGGTGCCCTCAGTTTGCTTGTAGAAATTTCCATTCCAGGTGAAGTATGTATTGGTTAAGCAGTGTCTCACCAGGGGGGGTACCCCAGCATTCAGTCCTTGATGAACCAAGTCTTCAATGATTGCGATGGTGTCAGGTACAGGAACCTTGGTGAATAAGGAAACCACATCAAAACTGACAAGCAAGCAGGTCAGTAGAGTTTAGTACCGCAGAGGTGGTTTTTCCACTGGAAAAACCACCTCTGCGGTACTAAACTCTACTGACCTGGTATCGACAATCAAGGGGATTGCCCTGTCCCCAGACGACCTGCTGAGAGACGCAGAGGGTGTTGGAGGCCTTGGGGGGCAGGTCTTGGAAGGCTTATTGAACGCCGGGCTCCAGTGAGCAGCCAGAGATTTCCTCTTCTTCAACCGTAGGAAGCTGTGGACAAACCGACCCATTAGACACTACACACAACTAAGAACATATACCAGCTCAACTATGAATACACACAACAATCAGCAACCCCTACTGGCAGACAAATGCCGATTTCACACCAGGTGCTGAGTCACCTTGTGCCCACAGGGACATCTGTCATTGAGGGTGCCCTTTCAAACGTGTTGAGATGAGATGTAAAGCACTCTGAGATGCCCCGGTGTACAGAAAGGTGCTAAATCATTCTTATCGTTATTACTGTTTACAGCAATAATGGAATTGTGTATATAGATAGATAATCTGTATTTGTAAACAGGGACCATGACGGCTTAATGAGATGGTTAGACCAGCTCATCATTATCATCATACACTGAATCATGTGTGTATGAATATATTATTTACGTTAAACGAAAATTATTTACGTGTGAGTGCGACGCACGAGTGCTGTGCGCTCACCTCCACCTCGCTCTGCAGACGCTGCTGCTCTGAGTGTGCGCTCTGCCTGTTGTCGCGGTAGGGCGCCAACTCGGCGTGCAGCTCCACCACCACACGTTGGTACCACTGAATCTCTGCCTGCAGAGATTCCAGCTGCCAATTCCTATCAATGAGCTGTGTGGGCCACGGGCAAACAGCGGCAAAGAAACACAGAAAAGCATTTTAATGATTGCGTGCGGTTATTGTATAACATACAGATGCAACAACAGACACATCGAATCGGAATCTTTATTTATAATTGAGCAATGTAATGAGCTATGAAGCTCTTTTACACAGATGTCAATACACCACCTATGACCAAATGACCAGAATGCACCCAATCATCTCAGATCTTGGAAGAAAAGCATGGCTGAACTTCCATAGTGCTTGGATGGACGACCACCATCCATACAACCCAAGATAACACCTATAAAAGCCCACTTATATGAATTAACCTAAAAGCTGCATTAAAATATCAGATTAAGATCGCTTTCCAACCAAACACGGGGAGTGAGATGCACGTAGCAGAGGGGAGCAGATGGTCTCGTAGTAGTAGGTACTTCTACTAGAGGTGGGATGGTGGATCGTAACGTGGTACAGTCCCTAAACAGAGGATGCTCCGTAACCCAGTGCGCATCCATACTGTACAACCATTAGTATGAAAAAGAAGTGGATACAGGCAGTCATAAACTTACGGACACCTGACTTCGGAATACCCGACCGACGAACCTGTTTCCATGAAATTTTCGGTGACCATTGACTTGCAAACTGAACTGTGGAACTATTTTGTTCAGTGCAGCGATCCTCCACGAGATACCATGAGTCGGCCTTGTGCTGGGAGTGAATGTGGGTGTGCACACGCACATGTGTGTGTATGTGAAAGTGAGTGTGTGGGGAGCGGCACTGTAGCAGTTTGCGCGCTGCACTACGAACCGAGTTCAATTCTCACTCATGGCCAACACCAGTGACAATTTTCTGAATCGTTCCTGGGCATCCCCTAGGTCGATTCAGCCTCAAATGAGCACCGAGCGCGGTGTGTAAACATCACCACTTGGGATACACAGGCAGATGGGTGTGGTGCTGGTCACACATCCCCTCGCATGCCGTGCTGGCCTTCATGGTGCTCGTGAACAGTACTTGTCCCAACAGTCTATTAAGGCTTTACGGGGGATCTTTGTGACGCCGAATGCTATGCGCTCACCTTCGCCTCGCTCTGCTGGTGCAGCACTTGCAGATCCTGGAGCTGTGCGTGCAAGCTCTGCAAGTTTTCGTTGGATGGCGCCAGCGCAGCATGCAGCTCCCCCACCACGCGCTGGTAGCCCAGAATCCCCGCCTGCAGGGATCCCAGCTGCTTGTTGTTCTCGATGAGCTGTGTGGGCCACGGCATAAAGCAGCAGAGGAATATGGCAAAGCGTTTTAATGACTGCGTGCAGTTACGATAGAACATTCAGATATAACAAAGACATACAGAACCAGTATCTTTATTTTAAATATAGGAATCTGAACAGCTATGAAACTCCTTCACATATGTCGATACACCATACCACCCAAGACCAAATGACCCAGAATACACCCAATATTATATCTTAGAAGAAAAGCACGGTTGAACTGTGATAGTGCTTCGATGGACAACCACCATCCATACAACCCAAAATAACACCTATAAAGCCCATATATATGAATCAATTAACCCAATAGGTGCATTAAAAGGTAAAATTAAGGGATGGGATCGAGATGCACGTAGCCACAGGGAGATGGTCTAGTAGTAGTAGGTACTTCTACTAGAGGTGGGATGATGGATCGTAATGTGGTACAGTCCCTAAACAGAGGATGTTCAGTAACCTAGCGCGCATCTATACATCAGTGTGAAAAATAAGTGGATGTAGGCAGTCCTCAGCTTACGAATACCGGACTTATGAACATCCACATTTAAGAACCTGCTTCCATGAAATATATATATCTTTTTTAACATTGACTTTAAACGCGAGCTCACACTTGAAAATTTAACCGCGGAGCTATTTTGTTCAGTGGAGCGATCCCCCGCGAAATGTAATGACTCAGACTCGTGCTGGGAGTGAGGCTTTGTGTGTGTGTGTGTGTGCGCGGGCGCACATGTGTGTGTATGAAAGTGAATGTGTGGAGAGCGCCTTGAGCTCCTCCCTCAGCTGCATGAATACTTCCTCGTCTTTCTGAGCCTTAATATAGACAACAATCATTTTACCATCGTCATCATTAGCATCGTCATCATGAGCAGCCATGATTCGTCCACCTCTGAATGATTGTAATTTTTCTGATACTGCTGGATGAAGGTTTCCCTGAGCCATACCGGTCATAGGAATTGATTGATCATACTTCATCACACTGGTCAGCAAGAGGTGGTACACCCAAGACTGGTTCAGATATCACTGGCCATCAATGCTACCCATGGCTGGAAATCAAACTCCAACGGCTTGGTTCAGAGTGCAGAAGACGAATCACACTAAATTACTTTTGTATATATAATCACAAATATTTAGTTTTCTTTCTACCTGTTTGTATATCACTTCCATTGGTTTCAAATGCCGTATGTTCTCCCCGTTGTAATCTGTTACATCGTGTGGTCTGTTTTAGTTACTTAACTCCCTGTATTGCATTGTTTGTGCATTACTTTGTTCACGATAAAACTTAATTGCTGCATTGTGTACTATTATTTTGACCACACAATGACCATTCTGGTCTCGGTTACTCCTTTCATGTTCCATGATCACATTGTTTTTGATCAAGGCACCGATTTAATAATCGCGGGGGGGGGCGACAAATGTATCCCCGGCCAAATTGTCATTGGCACATTTTATATTTGGCGATTCAGGCACGGCAACCGAAAAAGGTCCTCCCCCTCTTGTGAACGCTACCACAGATGTCTTCAAACTAAAACTTTCATTATCCTTATTTTACCACTGAGCTATATAACTCTATTTCAGAAGCGACCTGTCACAAATGAAAGTTCAAAGAAGTGGCTAATCATGTGGAAATGTTTTGCAGCCAAATAATCTAAACACGTTTCTGAATGTGGAGGGAAAAACCGGAGGACCCAAATAAAAATCCACACGACCACGGGGAGAACATGCAAACTCCAAATATACAGGTGTCAGGCGAGGTAGTTAACATCTAACATCTCGCCACCATGGCGCCCCTCTTCAGTGCCAATCACGGCTTCGTCACGCGTGCCCTTGCGAGAGGGGGTGAATTAGTCACAGGCCTAGTCAGGGCTTGTCTTGTTTAGTCAGATGTAATTACCTCATCCAACATTCACCTATCTGCAGGCAAAATTAAAAGGCATGATGGGAGGACCGATCCTGTGGTCACAATTATACATTTTGCCATATAGAAATGCATTATCATACTACATTACAAAAAATAATAATGGCTGATTGCCTTCCTGGCTGCATCTACGTTACTTTATAACCCCTTCAGGTTTCAGCCACCTGTGATTAAGCCAGGTACACATGTGCAATAAGTTAATCATCTCAGCCTGGTCATCAATGACTGCGCAGAAAAGCCCAGGAAAAAATGTTGGCTTTGCACGAAATCGAGCTAAATTCCAACACTGAAAACCAAAGATCTGACTGTTTTGTGGTGAAAATTACTCATTACTTTCCATAGCAGGGCAGGTATCAAAGTACTTCCTTCCATTGTGTGTTCCAGAGGGCACTTAAAGATTTCTCAAAAGTAGTTCTGTGATATATATGCTTCTGCGGACCATTCTCTAACCTGCGATGATGCACTGCTCAGCGGATGGGGACTGACCCCACGTGCACACAAATAGAGGTGTGGTGCTGCAGCTTAAGCCTCTAGTTACCTGGTGCTGCAGTCCGTCGATCTGGCCGCGCATGAAATTCATCTCTGCATCCGCGTGATGAACTGTGTACTGCAGGCGCACCACTTCCTGTGCCGTCGCGGCCTCCTCTGCCCTGGAGACTCCCAGCTCGGCCTTGATGAACTCCATCTTGCCCCTGTACAACACCACAAGGAGGCAGCACGGCGTCAAGCACGGGCACTCTGACGCTCGCTAACTCGCTCGCTCACTCGCACTGAGAATCCAACACCGAACCGTGGAAGATCTTTTAAGCGAATTCACTCAAAGCGTTTGACATAGTTTAAAAAAAGTGACAGAATTTAATAATTTAGATGGCAGGGGCATACAAGGGTTAAAGAATGAGAGACCGCGACATCGGGTACTTCGGGATCACGAATGGGTAGGGGAGGTAGAGGAAAGAGCTGTGCAAGGGGAGTGAAGAGGAAGAGAATGGGAATTCGAGAAGCGGTAAGCTGAAGGCCGCAGTGCATATGTGCAGATCACCAAATCTCAGTAAAAGCAATTGCATGGCCATGGTGCGACTGGCGCTACAAGCAGAGCAGCCTGGGAACTTTTTTCAAACGTGAATTGTATTACAAATTGTTCCTTGATATTCTACTTTCCCGTATGTCCATCGCTCAACCTCAGTCACCCTGTGTTCTGCTTTTTGGAAGCACACGCTCGCACACGTGTGATCTGAACACCTTGGACGTTGCACGTATGTGTCCTTCTCGTGCCATGACGCCTTGACGTGACTCTACCGCCATCCCACCACCGCTCACCTCTGCCACCTCGCTACGGACCGCCATTCCATTACTCCCACACCCGCCGAGCATCCTCCTAATCACTCCCCCCATGCCCCTCATCTCACCGTCGCCGCCACCGTTGCCTACGCTACGCACCTGGTGTTGTCGAGCTCTTCCTGGGCACGGCACTTCTCATTCTGCAGCATCCGCTCGCACTCCACCTTGTGCTCGCCTAGCCGCGCCTGCATCGCCACTAGTTCTGCCTGAGACAGCTCCGCACGCTCATGCTGTTGCTCCAGAGAATTGGCTGTCAAAAGGGACACAAAACCATGGTGATGAAGACAGTATAGCCACCAACGGCAGCAGGTGGAGAAAGAGTAGCAGCAGCGGGAGTAGTATCAGAAACTAGTCAGTGCTAAGAGGGATTAGGTCCCTCAGACCTATTCACCAGCTTGCATTCAAACGGGGTCCAAAATAATAATATATGCACGGGAAGGACTTAGCTAGAGAGCATTTAGTAAACCCAGTGCAGTCTTACCATGTTAACGGAAGTGGTCCACATGTGAAATGTTGCTAGGACTTAGACTCGTTTAAACTCGTAAAAATAAGTTATTGTTGCATAGTGGTCTACAAAAATTAGTGTTCAATGGGTCCGTGGATTTAGAAAGATTGGGAGCACAGGCCCCTACCCACCGGTCTCCTCGAAGCATGCGTTGGTCTCCTGCAGCCGTTGCTGCAACTCCAGTGCTTCATCCCGCAGGGTGTCCACCTCAGTTTGCTGCACCTCTTGGTTGGCAGAGAGGTCACGCACGGTCACACTCAGCTCCGCGACCTCGGCGCCCAGCCGCTCGGCTTCAATGCCACGCTCTCGTGCCACTTCCTGTGCCACCACCAGGTCGGCCTCAGAGCGCCGCAGCAGTTCGTCACGCTCCTTCAGCTCCTGCCGGCGGAGGACGGGCAGTATCTATATTACACTTAATTACATGTAATTTGAATACATTCATTATCCTTTTCATCGCTCACCCAAAATATTGAGAAAATTAAGTGGGCTTGGGCAGGACTCATTGCTCGAGGGGATGACGGATGGTGGAGAATAATAGCACAGTGTCAGCGATGGAATCTGATTGTGTGCAGGTACTAAGTGGATTGTTATCATTGCAAGATCGGGAGAGGTTGTGGTGGTGGCTTAAGGGAGGCCTTCATCCAGCAATGGATGAACATTGGCCAACTATGAAAAGAGCTCCAAGGGATTGTGGCTTATCAAGTATTTTCCAGGACACCAATTAATGGCCCCCGAATGACAAGAGAACTCGAGTGTGGGTAGGGGGGGGAGGGTAGGGGGGTGGCTGTTGCGAGAGTGGAGGCCTCACCTTCTGCAGGACTGCGATGTGCACGACGTGAGCGTCGTACTCTGAGTCGGCGTGCGTGTGCGATGCACGATATTCGGCCAGCTCCATGCGTGCCAGATTCAGAGTCTTCTCGTGCTCATGTCTCAGCTGCTCCTGAAGCCGCTCAGTCCTAAGCGTGAACTCTGCCAGCTCCGTTGACGCCGTTGACGCGGCTTTGGCGTCGTGCACGGAACGCTCCTCGGCCTCCCGCTCACCCCGCCGCGCTGCCTCCAACTCCGCCTGCAGGCTGTCGATGGCCTGCGAGTGCGCCTGTAGCTGCTCACGGACAGATGGGCACAGTGGCACAGGCACGTGTATGCATAGGTGGGCAGTCCCTCATCACAGACACGTGCAGCGTGCAGATGAGGACAGGTAGAGACATACTGACACGCAGTATGTAGTTGTACGGAGAAATAGAGACAGAGACACGGGCAGGAGGCACACGAAAAGAATAGAGAAATGACAAAGATGCAGAGACATATACACACAAAGACACAAGCAAGTCACATGTAAAAATTTGGACACATGTACAGAAAGTCACAGTGCATACTGTATGGAGAGACATGTATATAGCCACAGGCAAAACATGTACAGGGAGACAACGTAAGCATGCAGAGACACGGGGATCGAGTACAGACGCACATGTGCCCATATAGGTGGCACGCATGCAGATGGATGCGCACACATGCAAATGGATGCTTTTCAAGATGAAAAGAGAAGAAGTTTAGATTATATTGTGAACAATACGACCACGGGTAAATACCCATGGTCGTAATCAACATACCACAATGAGGTTTAAAGAGAATATAAAATATATTCGAATAATAAAAGAAATTCCAAAAATATAAGCATGATATATCAACCATTTGTAAGCATGCATACAACATGGAAATGCTCTTCATCGTAAGATTATGAATAAATTCCGAGCACCCAAATGATCATCTTCAAATGGAGTCAATATTCAGAACAACTCACAATGCCATGTCGGTCATGGGGATGTGTTTTACTATACTTCCCCATGCTGGTCAGCCCCATACAGGTGTATTAATCAGTAAAACATACATGCATATTCTGTGGAGAGATGCTATGATACAAAAATTGTGTTTGATCTGCTTTTTTCATTTTCAACAGTATTAGGATTCAAATTTAGCCAAATTAAGTACAGAACCAAAATATTTTTCGTTGGGTTTTTTTGTGCACTCATTCGTGACCAGGCTAAGATCACCAACTCATGACGCTTGGGAACCCGGTTAAATCACTGTGGTTGGGCGGCTGTAATCTGGATTTGATCCTGGAATCTCAGCAGTGCCGGCACAGCATCTCTGACCCCTGGGGCACCCAGCCACCTCCCAGAATGCACTTATTTAATGGGCCATTTTCTTGGCGTTCAGATCACACTCTGAATAAAACCTCAACACATTCATCAAAATAAACAGTATTAGGATTCAAATTTAGCCAAATTAAGTACAGAACCAAAATATTTTTCGTTGGGTTTTTTTGTGCACTCATTCGTGACCAGGCTGAGATCACCAACTCATTACGCTTAGGAACCCGGTTAAATCACTGTGGTTGGGCGGCTGTAATCTGGATTTGATCCTGGGATCTCAGCAGTGCCGGCACAGCATCTCTGACCCCTGGGGCACCCAGCCACCTCCCAGAATGCACTTATTTAATGGCCAATTTCCTTGACTTTCAGATCACACTCTGAATAAAACCTCAACACATTCATCAAAAACGATGCACTCAATAGGGCAGAACATCGAAAAGGCGACGTTTCAGGCAATGGTCCTTTACAGCAATATCCATTGCAGTCTTATTGACGAATATGTTGAGGTTTTGTTATCCCTGCTTGTGCGCCACGGAGCTTCACGAGAACACGTTTAATTTTAGCCGCGCTCCGTGCAACAAGGGGACGGGGAGGGGGGTTTGGCGGCAGCCAGGGTACCTCCTCAGAACGGTGGATCTCGAGTTGGTGCAGCATCTCGTGGAGGCTCTTATCCTTCTGGCTCAGGGCGCCACGCAGGGTGTTAAAGTGCGCTCGTGCCCTGCCCAGGTTGGCCCGCAGGTTCGACACCTCCTGAGACAGCTGGTGCATTTCGTTCTCCGGCATTGGCAACTGCGACGGGAGCAAGGGCACATGGCATGGGCACGTTAGCTCCTCCCAGTGTAAATCCTGCCTTCATTCGCATCGTGACGGACGCCATTTGACACGGATGGTGGAAAAAACACCATGGCACATGACAAGTGAAGTGCCTCATACGCAGGTAGACACACATCGGACAGATACGCTGACACCCACACACCCACGCAAGACAACACGATTCCTCACACAGCCTAAACACCGTGGTAGAACGCGCAGCAGCGTTGGTCTCAGAAACTCATCCACCGCCATCTCTGTTTACATTCGCTCAGCCAATGAGAGTGACGAACGCTCTGGGACAACCAGCAACAAACCCCCGCGATTCAATAATGACGATGTATGGTCACGAGTACATTAAAAAAATCGATAATTTTGTCAATGTTGTTACAATCTTTGTTATTCAGTATTATCACAGTACGCTCTGAGCCACGCAGCGCTCGCCAGTTTTTAAAAGACACCCTGGTCCGCCGACGTGTTTGCTCTTCCTTGGTCTCTCTTTGCCTTGTTTTCATATTTTAGTGAGCATGTTAGCCCCAAAATGTCTGGAAAGAGGCCTGTAAATGTGTTAGTGCTGGAAATGAGACCAACAGGTCAAGGAAAAGTATCACTTAGAATGGTAACATGCAAGTGATAATGCCGGTCGATGTGGGTGAGCATCAGGCGAGTACATTACATAATACTTATTGATAATAAAAAAATGTATATTTGTTTTGATACAATGTTTACCATCTGATTTATTACTGTAATTAAATTGCGCTGATACTGACACCCCAATGAAGCCCTCATTTATTGTTCATGAGAGACAACGCTGTTGGGAAAGCATCCCCATATGTACAATGGTATAATAACCCTTTAAGCGCTGATTCGATTAATGCCTTTATTATGATGAATGCTCACTTCTCCATCTACGCATCTTCAGCGCAAAGCGAGGACTGCCTGTATTAATTCCATACAGGTTTGCAGCGGTGGCCTCCACTCCAGCCTCGCTTTGACTCCGCTCTCTTGCCAAGTACAACTCTGCCATCAAAACGCACCTCCACTGTTGACAAATTCAGTGTCTCCTGTGTGGCTTTCAACTGTGGTATGCTGAAGGATCTCATTGATGCTCTTGCCGACCCAGAGAAATAAACACAGGCCACCTCGCAGCGACAAGAAGTCCATGCGGTAATGACGTAACAATTAATCACGTAGGCATTGTGCTACCAGTATTATTCATAATAAAGGTTTTTGGGTTAGATCGCGTTATTATAATTGTGTCGCAACCCTCCATCACCCGACACGTCCAATCAGTAGAAAATGTGTCACGTTAACAAAACGCCAATTAGTTACTTCTTCAGCCCACCGGTGTGTTTGAAGAGTGAATCCACAACATTTAGCATTTGAGTACGACGTTTCGCTGGTAATTACATCCAGCATCTTCGGGCGATTTGCCAGAATAGTGAAGCCACCCACCTGCTTCCCGTCTTAAACAGTGCAGGATGACGTCATCATCGTTGAATCCCATCAGGTTTTGAGATCAGAGGCGGAGGTGTGGGGGGGTATTGTAATTGTATAATAAATTAGCAATCATATTCTTTGGGTCGGCATCCTTTTTAAATTCTTTATATTAAGTTCGCTTGTTTGCTTGCGTGCTCGCGTGCTTGCTTGCTTAAGACCGTGCAAATCTTTCGGTCGTTTTTTAACCCACTTCCCGTGATCCAATCGAGCTGACATTTTGCACACAGACTCGTTGTGCGAGACAATTAATGTTCGTGAAAATTTTTTTCCAAAATTTTACACTGTTTAGGGAAAACAAATTAAATATTTAATTACCAATTGCTTAATACTGGCAGACAATCATCTGACCCATAGGTGGCAGCCATCTCAAGCGAGAGGACGAGAGGACTCTAGCCGCCACGCATATAAAGGATTTATAGTGAAAAATTTTGTTTTTACGAGTTATACTTGTTAAATCCTTTATATTAAGTTCGCCTGCTTGCTTGCGTGCTTGCTTGCTTGCTTACGACCGTGCAAACCTTTCGGTCGTTTTTTAACCCACTTCCCGTGATCCAATCGAGCTGACATTTTGCACACAGACTCGTTGTGCGAGACAATGTTCGTGAAAACATTTTTTTCCAAAATTTTACACTGTTTAGGGAAAACAAATTAAATATTTAATTACCAATTGTTTAATACTGCAGACAATCATCTGACCCATAGGTGGCAGCCATCTCAAGCCAGAGGACGAGAGGACTCGAGCCGCCACGCATATAAAGGATTTAGAGTGAAAAACTTTGTTTTTACGGGTTATACTTATTCCTGATGCCGACCGCTTGTGTTGTGATCGAAACGTCGTAGGTTTTTTGTTACTTTTTCTTATTTTCTTTGAAGATATCTACGTGACTTTATCAAAAGACCCAAAGAATATGAATTCTTGCAGTCACGAAAGCTTTAAGGGGCCGTCCATAAATGACGTCACGCACATCGGGGGGGGGGCGGGGGGATTGAGAAATGTGACGTCACATCAAAATGCGCAACTTTAAGGGAGGGGGAGTAAAACATCTGCCAAAATCGCGTGACGTCATTTATGGACGGCCCCTAAGTCAAGATTAGTAATGTAAATACAAGCGAAACGTCGTACTCAAATTCTAAATGTTGTGGATTCACTCTTCAAACACACCCGTGGGCTGAAGAAGTAACTAATTGGCGTTTTGTTAACGTGACACATTTTTTACTGATTGGCCGTGTCGGGTGGTGGAGGGTTGCGACACATTTATAATAACGCGTTATCACCCAAAAACCGATATAAATGACGTAACAAACATTGCAGTGGTGACGTCATTGGCTCCACCCTATGTGGGCGGAGCCAACCCTATATGGGCGGAGTCTACGGCTCGTCCTTATCGCGTCACCAAATGCCACGTGACCCCCAGGCACAGCTGCTGGACAACGGCAGTTGGTCCGAGATGCTGTCACCATGGCAACGCAAACAAGGACCACCTTGCCCAGAGAAAGCTCCTTCCGACTAAAATCCTTGATGAAACTCTCAATCTGTGATATTAAACTATGAACCTCCTTACCTACGTATCAAGCGTTCAATTTTAAAGTTTAACTTAAATAACAGAAAAAAAAATCGATATTTTTTTTCTCGATGTGATCACGGTATTTATTTCGTATAACTCCGATCGATACCGCTGAAAGGCAAGAGGTGGCGCCACTCACCTCCACTGTTGACGAATTCGGAGTCTCCAGCGTCGCTTGCAACTGCTGCGCTCTCTTGAAGAACCTCATAGTTCCTGTTGGGGGCGCAAGAGATAGAAGCAACCGCTCAACTCGCTCGCCCTATCGGAGTGACGTCAAAGCCGGAGGTGACGTCATTGGCCCCGCCTACTGTGGGCGGAGCCAAAGCCCGTGAACCCCGCCCCCTCAGACACCCAATGGGGGCAGAGGAAGCTCCCTGCGACTTGAGACTCGGAGCCTCCTCGCCACGTGTCGAGAGTTCAATGTCGCAGTGAAATTCACTGACGAGGCGACTGTCTCTGGTCTTGGTGTGCTCCTTTGACTGTCGGTGTTTTGCCGTCTTGCCCAAGCTTGGATATGGTGTTGACAAATCTACAGGAAGGTATGTGCTGCACAGTTTGTTTTTTTACGACATGTTTATTTATGTCTTGATTACATTTTATCAATCCTTACTCTAGTATCCTTTATTGCATTTTGTTGTTGTTGATGCAACTGGCTGACCCGCCCCTTCTGGACGTGTGTGAATGAGAACGCCAAACTCATGAGATCCCTCTGGGATAAATACGCGCACGCGTGCAGATAGATGTAGCAGACACGAATAATTGACGATTATTCCAGATGTATGAAGTATTTTATTCAATGTTTTGTCACAAATCAAACGTGGAGCATAAGCAACAAATATAACACTCCTGAGACGGGCACCTCCCTTACTGACCTCCTCCTCACCCCTCGTCCTCCTCACCCATCTGCTCGTTATCTTCACTCCTCACTTCGTCCTCCTCACCTCGTCCTCACCCCTCACCTCGTTCTCCTCACCTCATCCTCCCACCCTCTTCGTAGCAGACACGTATAATCTGTTTTTTACCTATATAAATGTCATTTTGTGTCTCTGTCTGTGAGTGTTGACGCGCTTGCGAGGGATTTGGCTCTCAAACGGTGGGGTTCGCGTAAACCAGGCATGTCCAAAGTCCGGCCCGCGGTCAGATTTCATACGGCCCGCAGCTTCGGTCTTATAATGTGCAATTTATAATGTGTAATTTATAATGTGTAATTTATAATGTGTAATTTATGGCTCGCTAGCTCTGTCAGAATAAATAAATTCCTCTTTTCACCACACGGTGGCAGCACCATTCTAATGCTATCTGGCTCTTGAATAACTTCTACGGTGACGTAATACATCACAACGATGTGAGGTGGCTGTTCCTTGATCAATCTGAAATTTAGTGTTTTGAACGGTAGCATCTGTCACTATTAACAGTGAAAAGCCTAAAGCACACTAATGCACTTGGACTTATGGCACTTGTTTTATTAAACTCTTGAATAAGATTTGGTTATAACTGTTGATGTTATGTACCTGTAGATGTGACACAAACTATTTCTTTCTGAAAGATCTTGTAAAAGACAAGGGCAAAATTCACTTGTTTTAAAGTTTAATGATAACAGACCACTTTGCATTACTTATAACTCCTGTTTAAAATGTTCATGAGGCAAAGATATTTCACTCATGGAAATTTAAGGTATTCTATACAGTTTGTTCAATGTTATCTGACTGAATGAAAGGCAGAATTGTGTTTTTAGAGTTGTTCACGTCTGCCTGAGTGGCTTATATTTGGTTACATTGTCATTTGAAAAATTAAGGTAATTGTGACAATGATTTTTTTTTATAACAGTGTGTGTTTTCATGTAACTTTTGTGGCAAAAAAATCTCAGAAGGAACTATTGGCCCCCGGGCATCTTCACTTTATGAAATTTGGCCCTCTTTGCAAAAAGTTTGGACACCCCTGGCGTAAACAAAAATTAGCCAGGTACCACGCCGGAAGCCCCGTGCTTGGCATAGGCGATTCCCTTTTCACGCCCGTCACCTTAAAATTAGTTCAGTTAGCGTCTTTTGCCGATTTTTCTTTATTTTAAGAGAAAGTTTCGCGATTGTTTATTTATTTCGCTTCGCCGCGCGCGGGCTGACAACGCAGCCAGCGGCACTTGCGCACAACGCGCACGAGGTGACCCCCCAGCAGCAATCCGCACGCGCCGTCGCCAAAGGTCAGGCGCACACTTTTGTATTATGTGCATTTATACAAGGCGTAAGTCGCACACATTAGTACTATGAGCATGAGTGTAATTACACTCATGCTTATAGTACTAATGTGTGCTCACATGGGTTGCCCCTAGCAACGCGCACACGATCGGCACGAATTTTAATTTGCCTTAAACATGCAGCAAAAACACGGAACACGTAAATTATTCACAGTGCGATGTCCTCTTCACCCCACCCCAATGATACCCCAATGCGTCCTGAAACTACTATAGAGCCCCTACATATTATTCTTCTAACGCGTACATGCCATTATTGTAGCGCGGCCGGGGGGAGCGGCCCAGCCCCACAGCCTGCCAAGGTCACACCTCGACCGCCTGGGAAATCTAGGCGAGGCCGGGGCTCTGCACGGGACTAGGCCTCACTACGGCACTCTGTCTGCTTACTACTTTGTGCTATAGATTCGATATATACTGCTATAAAGTCAGCATGTACTACTGTAGTGCTAGCAGGTAACCACCACAGTCACTATGCACTGCTGTAATCATAGCAGGTACCACCACAGTCACTTTGCACTGCTGTAATCATAGCAGGTACCACCACAGTCACTTTGCACTGCTGTAATCATAGCAGGTTACACCACAGTATCCACTGCTGTAGTTAAAGCAGCTACCACCACAGTATGCTCTGCTGTAATCATAGCAGGTACCACCGCATTAAGTATGCACTGCTGTAATCATAGCAGGTTACACCACAGTATCCACTGCTGTAGTTAAAGCAGCTACCACCACAGTATGCTCTGCTGTAATCATAGCAGGTACCACCGCATTAAGTATGCACTGCTGTTGTGAAACAATGTACCACCACAGTATGCACTGCTGTTATCATAGTAGGTACCTTGTGGATTGACAGATGCACAGATTAATATGATAGCGCATGGATGAATGAGTGTACAGCTGGACAGCAAATGAATGAACAATATTTTCTATCGCATTGAAAAAAAACTAACACTGTAATCAATCACCCGATACGCCTGCTGAACCAACGTATCCTACAGGAGCATATGAGTGTGTTTCATACATTACCTGGGTGTTTGTTTCTTATGTATGATCGGTATGCGTTCTACGCACGATCCATATGTGATATTAAACAAGATATTTGCCTGTTTTCCGAATGATCTGCACGTGTTTCTCGCATGATGTCTGTTTCACACGTGTTCTGTGTGGGTGGCCCGGACAATCCTCGGCCGCCTTTGTCTCTCGAGTTGCGATGTGTACACATTGCACCGGATACTCATTTAAAGCCGACCTCTAGAGATCCAGGACCGGTTCAGATTATCGCCACTGGTGATGGTGGCCGTAAGCGGGAATCGGTACATTGGATTCATCATAACGCAGCTTTCTAAACCCACACGCTCACAAACAGGACTGCAACTCATCCACCTCGCGCATCTGTGCCAGAAACTTCCAATCGTGGAGCAACGCATGAATGAAGAGACCCGTCTTGCCATCGGGATATGATGGCTGGCAGGCGGTTGTTGCTATCCCGCAGGAAGCGGGCGCATGTAACGCTCACCTGAGCGTCGCGAGGCGTGCCCCGCAGGTGGTATCACATGGGATGATGCATGTGCGTCCACGTCATGGCCCTTTCACGAGTCCGCTGCTGTATGGGGACCTCCCCACCACCACGACCTAGTGGATCGTTGACCATACTTCACCACGCTGGTCGGTGCGGGTTGGTTGCAGGTGTGGGAAGCGGGGCACTATGCAAGGGTTCATGTTGCTGTACTGCCCCTTTGCTGACCACGTGGCAATTTCCAGATTCATTCAGCAAGTGCGCAATCGCCGAGCCATGCGACAGCGCCCCCGGTTTGCCACGTGCAGCTCTCGTAGACGATGACAACAAACACGCACCCTGCTCTACGAAGCCTGACAGTGGTCATGATGATGGCGGTGGTCGTGGTTCGTGTGGTACCCATCAGATTAACAAAAACTTAACATTTTTTTATTTTACCCGGTAAAGCTCAATGAGCTATATAGGTGTTTCTCAGAAGCTACCTGGCAATCATAAATTATAGCTCAACGAAGTGGCTTATCACGTGGATATGTATTGCAGCCTCGATATCACAGCCAAATACAAACCCTCTGCGGGTAACCATGAGCCCGGGCAGCAGGGGGGAAGTGGGCAGATGGTCAGGGGCCAAGGAGCAAGGGGAGGATGGAGAAGGGCAGCGGGGAGTGGGTCAGTGGCGCGGAATGTTCTTGTGATGCAAATGTTGACTGATATTTATTGAATACAACTAGAACAATTTACAAGTGTGCAATCATCGATATGATGTTGATTATAATGTTTAGCGATAATTATATTAAGATTAGGATATGCAGGAGATAGTGATGATAATGCTAATGTCTTTACGCATGGTGATGGTAGGGAACTATTAATCTGGTGATGGCTGGGGAAGTTGAAGATGGTGATGAGAGTGCTCCTGCTAAGTAGTGGTACTTTAGATGATGATTACGATGCTGCGACTATTGCTGTAGCTGCTGAAATAATAATGATGCTGCATCTGCTGCTGACAATGATGATGCCCCTCTCCACCCACCTTCGTCCACCCCCACAGGTTCCGAGGAGGAGCGCCGCGTGGTGGTGTAAGCACTCAGCCTGCTGAAGCGCGGGAGTGCAGAGAGGCGAACCCACGAGGTGGAGACAGGAGGGCCAGGGTCCTCCTGGGGGAACAAAGCGAGCGGCGTCCTGGCGGGGTCGAGAGGGCAGGAGACGCAGCGGATATTGGCAGGGCTCTGGATGTACGCTCCATTGTAAACTCCGATGAGCACCTGATTGTATCCCCCGACGGGGACCCTATTGGGGCCCCAATGGGCAGGGACCCAGGTGGGGACCCACTACCCCCCGAGGTGACAGTGCCAGTTCTTGAGGAGACTGCACTGGGCTGGGAATTATCGGCCGAGGTGCGCGTGGCGAAAACAAGCACGTGACACCGCGTGAGTGTGCGGGCCACGAGGCCACTTACACGGGCGTCAACCTGGGCAGGTTTGAGGAGGAGGAGGCCCATCCTGGAGCTGGGACCGCACGAGGGTGAGACGGAAGGATGGAGATGGGGAGGCTCTACGAGGGAATGTTTGTCTTTGTTGTCCGGCACAGAGCGGCGCGTGCTGGTGTGCGAGCCCCCGAGCGCGTACCTGCACCTGGCCGTGGACCACTTCGCACTCGTGCTGGTGGCGTGTGCGCCGGTGCTCGACATGGCGCCGAGATTGCACGTGACCCGTGTGCGCTCCCCACGCTTGCACGTGAGTGGCACATTACAACAGCATCAACAATAACAACAGCAGCAACAACTATACGTCTCAAAATTTATTTTGGGTATCATAAATCCTCCTCCACCCGACACAGTGGTGCGATGGTAGGTGATGGTGTGTTTATAATGGCATGATGATGGTATAATGTTAGATGATGCTGTGATGTTAGATGTATGTTGAACTTATTTCGCAATGTACGTAGACACCAGTGCTTAACGGAGGTGTGTTTGCAATGGCATGATGGTTTAATGATGGTGTGATGATGATGGCATGATAATGGTGTGGTGGTAATTGATGGTGTGATGATGAAAATGCGAAGTTACATGAAAGTGTGATCATGATGATGGTGGTAATGTGATGTTCGAAGCTGTTTTTGTGTGATGGTGTGATAATAGTACGATATTCGATGATAGTGTCAAGATGATGATAGTGGTTTCATGCTAGAAGCTGTGCTTGTGATTGCCTGATAATGGTGCAGTGGTAGATGGTGTGATATCCCCCCACAGGTGATGGAGGGGACCCACGTGGGTCGCGATCTCTTCTCCGAGCTCTGCTTCACGAACCCCGTGGCACGCCCCCTGCACCGCGTGCGCGTCCGCGTGGAGGGAGCCGGCGTGCACACGCCGAGCAACATACTCGTCGGGTATGGTGCCGTCGTCACAAGTTCACGATCATAACAAGATCAAATAGAAATAGACGATGTTTCGGGCAACTACCCTTGTTCATAACACACGTGTTCATCTTCTTGGTTCTTTCGGTAAAGTCACGTAGAAGGGAAGTAATAAAATAATAAAAATAAAACATAATAAAACAATTCTCACGACGTTTCGGCTACAACGCAAGCAGCCGTCTTCAGGTGAAGAATGAGACAATGCCAAGCTAGGAGCTTATATATAAGCTGCGTTGGAGGTGGAGGAAAGAGCGCCTTAACAAAAGAATGTGCATGTGAAGAGGAATTTAGCATATTCATGGAAAATGCGTAGGAGGTGGGCGGGGGGGTTTCAAAGTCATATTATGCCCATGCATTATGCAGGATCAACAGCACCAAGGGGGGGGGGGTGCAGGGATTAGCAGTAACAAAGGAAAGGAATGTTAATGATATGTAGCTGCAGTTACTCAACCACCACGTAGAAAACTAAAGTATAAACTACATAAAAAACTAAAGTATAAATAGCATAGCACCATCAGTATACTTACTATACTCTACACTAAGCTGAGTTACTAACAGCAAGTAATACATTACAATTCTACGTCGTAAAAATTATATAATATGCTTCCATCTAAACTTTATTCTATTGCATCAACGAGCATATACCGTACTATATACTGCCAACATTAAATTATATACTGTATTGCTGTAAACCAACCTATATCTTATACATTTAATATAACACTATGTATTATTCTACCCACCCTAATGTGTGTCGAAATGGTTTATTACGTCCTTCCAATGATTGCTAAGCCAGAATCCATCTTCTCGGTTAAAATTGTCTCTGTGTTTGTATATGTGGATCGCCTCATGAACGAATCTCTCATGATAGCCAGATGGCTTGCAGAGAACCTCTGTCTTGGAGAAGTCAATGTCATGTGAGCCCACTGAATTGTAACAGTGATCTGCCACGGCTGAGGTGTTTGTCCTACCGTGTTTCAGGTCTGCCTTATGTTCACGGATGCGGTCCGAGACATGTCGTTTGGTTTCCCCAATGTAACTGCTACCACAGAGGCAACTTAGTTTGTAGACGCCAGGGTACTGTATGTCTGGAACCACATCTTTTACAGACGGGACCAGATCACGGATTTTATGTACTGTGTTGAATCGGACCTGGATCTTGTGTTTAATCAGGATTTTGGAGATCTTTTTTGTGACCCCAGCAATGTAGGGTAAGGTGATGGTCTTGAAAGGCTCCTCAACAGGATCCTTCTTGATGGTTGGAGTGATGGCTTTGCGGATTGTGTAGTCGGAGTAACCATTAGCCTTAAGAGCTTGGCGTACGTGTTTGAGTTCACTGGAAATGTGTTCATGGTCGGAGATGCATTGGGCTCTATGATATAGAGTCTTGATGAGGGAATTCTTCTGGGATGGATGGTGGTGGGAATCCGGTTTTAGATAAGCATCCGTGTGGGTGGCTTTCCTGTAGACAGAGTGGCTCATTGAACCATCAGGTCTCCTTTTGATTAGGACATCCAAAAAGGGTAGCTTGCCATCATTTTCGACTTCCATGGTGAATCTGATGGCTGGGTGTATGGAATTGATGTGGTCGAGAAATTGGTCTAGAGCAGGCCGGCCATGTGGCCAGATGACAAAAGTGTCGTCTACGTACCTCTTCCATAAGGTCGGGCGTAGAGTGGCAGTCTGGATGGCGTCCGTCTCAAATTTCTCCATGAAGATGTTGGCTACAACCGGAGATAGGGGGGAGCCCATTGGGGTGCCCTCAATTTGCTTGTAGAAGGTTCCATTCCAGGTGAAGTATGTATTGGTTAAGCAGTGTCTCACCAGGGGGGGTACCCCAGCATTCAGTCCTTGATGAACCAAGTCTTCAATGATTGCGATGGTGTCAGGCACAGGCACCTTGGTGAACAAGGAAACCACATCAAAACTGACAAGCAGGTCGTCTGGGGACAGGGCAATCCCCTTGATTGTCGATACCAGGTCAGTAGAGTTTAGTACTGCAGAGGTGGTTTTTCCAGTGAAAGGCCGTAGGATTTCGGACAAAAAACGAGCCAGTTTGTAAGTGGGGGAGTTGATAGTAGAGACAATGGGACGAAGAGGTGTATCTTCTTTATGTATCTTTGGCAAGCCGTACAATCTTGGTGGCCTGGCTGCAGAAGGTTTCAACGAGAACTGTTTGGTCTGATCAATTAATGCGGTTGAAGCAGAAATGATGTTGTTGGTTTTGGAGACGAGGCTGTTGGTGGGGTCTCTTTTTATTTTTGTATAGCTGCCATCGTTGAGTAGTTCTTGAATTTTGTTGTTGTATTCTATTTTGTCCATGATGACAGTGGCATTGCCTTTGTCGGCTGAGAGGATGACAATGTCATCCCTCTTTTTAATTGAGCTAATTCAAAACGCTCATCTTTGCTAATGTTGCTAGCTGGCATCTTAACGTTTTTGAGGGTTACAGAGATTTCAGATCTTGCTACGTCTGCAGCGATGTGACTCAAGCCCTTGAGAGCTACATCTACTCGAGCAATTATATCATTAACTGGTATGTGTCTAGGTGTGACTGCAAAGTTTAGTCCTTTAGCTAAAACGGATTTCAAACCTTCAGAAATAGGACTGTTACTGCGATTAATTACGACTTTGTTAACATCTAGCTTTTCAATGTGTGGGTCCGGTTTCTTGTTTGAGAGGCGGTTGAATTTGGAAATCAAGTTGTCCTTACATTTAGTCGACATAGCGGCAGCTGAAGAGGCAGTCATTTTTTCCACATGTTCCCAATCCGATGTGGACATTGTTACACTCAAAGATAAGTGTGATTTGTAGAGTGTCTTGTCTAACTGATCTAGTTCGGTGCGCGTAAGTCTGATTTTCTCTGAGATAAGGGCTAAACTAGTTCTAGACAGAATTCGTTTCGCATTAGAAGAAGTTACAGCAGCAGATGTTAGTGTAAATGCGTTTGGTATTACCTTAGAGTCGCGGCATCTCTTCAGAAAGGTGAGAGACTCGATTAGCTGAGCCTTCTTATCCCGGAGCTTGTTGAAGGATCTCAAAGTTATGTGGAAACCCTCCCCGTAGAGGCGGTTAAATTTCGATTTAAAGCTTTTGTGACTGCAGGGATTCATCTTCTTGGTTCTTTCGGTAAAGTCACGTAGAAGGGAAGTAATAAAATAATAAAAATAAAACATAATAAAACAATTCTCACGACGTTTCGGCTACAACGCAAGCAGCCGTCTTCAGGTGAAGAATGAGACAATGCCAAGCTAGGAGCTTATATATAAGCTGCGTTGGAGGTGGAGGAAAGAGCGCCTTAACAAAAGAATGTGCATGTGAAGAGGAATTTAGCATATTCATGGAAAATGCGTAGGAGGTGGGCGGGGGGGTTTCAAAGTCATATTATGCCCATGCATTATGCAGGATCAACAGCACCAAGGGGGGGGGGGGTGCAGGGATTAGCAGTAACAAAGGAAAGGAATGTTAATGATATGTAGCTGCAGTTACTCAACCACCACGTAGAAAACTAAAGTATAAACTACATAAAAAACTAAAGTATAAATAGCATAGCACCATCAGTATACTTACTATACTCTACACTAAGCTGAGTTACTAACAGCAAGTAATACATTACAATTCTACGTCGTAAAAATTATATAATATGCTTCCATCTAAACTTTATTCTATTGCATCAACGAGCATATACCGTACTATATACTGCCAACATTAAATTATATACTGTATTGCTGTAAACCAACCTATATCTTATACATTTAATATAACACTATGTATTATTCTACCCACCCTAATGTGTGTCGAAATGGTTTATTACGTCCTTCCAATGATTGCTAAGCCAGAATCCATCTTCTCGGTTAAAATTTTCTCTGTGTTTGTATATGTGGATCGCCTCATGAACGAATCTCTCATGATAGCCAGATGGCTTGCAGAGAACCTCTGTCTTGGAGAAGTCAATGTCATGTGAGCCCACTGAATTGTAACAGTGATCTGCCACGGCTGAGGTGTTTGTCCTACCGTGTTTCAGGTCTGCCTTATGTTCACGGATGCGGTCCGAGACATGTCGTTTGGTTTCCCCAATGTAACTGCTACCACAGAGGCAACTTAGTTTGTAGACGCCAGGGTACTGTATGTCTGGAACCACATCTTTTACAGACGGGACCAGATCACGGATTTTATGTACTGTGTTGAATCGGACCTGGATCTTGTGTTTAATCAGGATTTTGGAGATCTTTTTTTTTTTTTTTTTTTTTTTTTTTTTTTGTGACCCCAGCAATGTAGGGTAAGGTGATGGTCTTGAAAGGCTCCTCAACAGGATCCTTCTTGATGGTTGGAGTGATGGCTTTGCGGATTGTGTAGTCGGAGTAACCATTAGCCTTAAGAGCTTGGCGTACGTGTTTGAGTTCACTGGAAATGTGTTCATGGTCGGAGATGCATTGGGCTCTATGATATAGAGTCTTGATGAGGGAATTCTTCTGGGATGGATGGTGGTGGGAATCCGGTTTTAGATAAGCATCCGTGTGGGTGGCTTTCCTGTAGACAGAGTGGCTCATTGAACCATCAGGTCTCCTTTTGATTAGGACATCCAAAAAGGGTAGCTTGCCATCATTTTCGACTTCCATGGTGAATCTGATGGCTGGGTGTATGGAATTGATGTGGTCGAGAAATTGGTCTAGAGCAGGCCGGCCATGTGGCCAGATGACAAAAGTGTCGTCTACGTACCTCTTCCATAAGGTCGGGCGTAGAGTGGCAGTCTGGATGGCGTCCGTCTCAAATTTCTCCATGAAGATGTTGGCTACAACCGGAGATAGGGGGGAGCCCATTGGGGTGCCCTCAATTTGCTTGTAGAAGGTTCCATTCCAGGTGAAGTATGTATTGGTTAAGCAGTGTCTCACCAGGGGGGGTACCCCAGCATTCAGTCCTTGATGAACCAAGTCTTCAATGATTGCGATGGTGTCAGGCACAGGCACCTTGGT